TGACTGCTGAAAGTGATATTTTCTTTTTTTTCCTTCTCTCATTCCCCTACCCACAAACTGTGATTACTTATTGCTTGTTTTTCTGAAGGCATGTTTGCAGACATCCCCAAAGCAGGCTCTTTAAAGAGAATAAAACTAATAATTCTCATTATTTTTAATGTGTAATCATTTATAATGTTAGTAACAAAGAGCAATAATAGACAAATACAAAGACTTCTCTGCAGATAAGGTACCATGGGTTACAAAGGTTTAATTATTTTATTATTGTATCATGTGGCATAATGATATTACAAACTATTCCACTGGGGAAAATATCTATGAATATTTTTTGCAGAAATGCCAAAGGGTCTAATTTTCTTCCTGACCCTAATGGTACTTCTCTAAATTCATGCAACTATTATTTTTTATTACCTCTAGGTCAAATGCTCCCTTGGACCTTTCTAGAAAAGTATTTTCTGAACAGAGAAAAAGATGTGTTTTTTGAGATATTTATAGATGTCTGAAAATTTGTCTGTATTGTGAATTTAGTTTCTTGCGAACGTTGGATGCCTTAATGAATTCATGTGGTTTTTGATCTAATTTCAAAAACTCTTTGTAAATGGTAAGTTCAGATCTTGGGCAAGCAGAATGTGTTTCTTCCTCTATAGCTCCCAGGATGTGGAGAGTGATAAAAGAGGGGGAAAAAAGGATCAGAAAGTGAAAGAGGAAAGGTGACATAAAAAGGAAAGAGAATATTTTTAAAAAATATTAGTTGAGAATAGTAACTTTATGTTGCTACATAGATCCATGGATTTCTGAAGTAGAAAAACAATGAAGAAGAAAACAATGATTTACATTGGTTATTTGCCTCCATTAATATTTTCCTACAATTGCAAGTTGATATAAATCACATATTTAATTCCAAAGTAATTTAGCATGTAATATCAAGCGTTTATCTCTGCTCATCCACAATAATTTAGCTTTACCTGAACTGTCTGTATTTGAGGATTAATCTCCTGGATGCCTTAATGAAATTCATGTGGCCCTTGATCTAATTTCAAAAACTTTGTAAATGGTAAGTTCAGATCCTGGGCAGGTAGAATCTTTCTTCTTCTGTAGCTCCCAGGATGTTGAGGGTGATAAAAGAAAAAAAAGGAATCAGAAAATTAAAGAGAAAGGGTGACATAAAAAGGAAAGGAAAGAGAATAATATCCCAGCAAGCCTAGCCTGTAGCCCACCCAATGTTTGCTTCAACTTGGCATTTCAATAACATATAATATGGCACCTATCATGACCCAGACCATGCAGTTTCACCTGAACATTCCTTGAAAAGGAAAAAAGAAGAAAGAAAGAAAGAAAGAAAGAAAGAAAGAAAGAAAGAAAGAAAGAAAG